TGTTGATAGAACAATCACTGACCTCTTTTTATAGTCTGAAAGGTACTGTAAACACCACCGATCAATGTTGGAATTCTTTCCATTGGCCGAAATATAAACGTCTTTTAAATGACAAGATTGGTTGGTTGAAATAGATTTGGTATTTCACTAACAGAGTGAGTGAGTGAGTTTGGTTTTACGCCGCTTTTAGCAATATGCCAGCAATATCACGGCGGGGAACACCAGAAATGGGCTTAACACATTGTACCCATGTGGGAAATCGAACCCGGGTCTTCGGCGTGACGAGCGAACGCTTTAACCACTAGGCTACTCCACCGCCCCTTTCACTAACAGAAATTGATGGACAAAGCGAAAATAGCTTTTTGAGAAGTGGTCACGTAACGGCAACGGTAATTAGATTGACTGATTGTTGTTTAGCGCTGCACTCAGCAATATTCCAGCTGAGCTGGCGGCGGTCTGTAAATAATCGAGTGTGGACCAGACAATCCAGTGATCCAGTGAACATCGATCTACGTAATTGGGAACCGATGACATGTGTCAACCAAGTCAGCGAGCCTGACCACCCGGTCCTGTTAGTCGCCTCTTACGACAAGAATGGGTCATATAGCTGGAATATTGCTGAGTGTAGTGTAAAACTAAACTCAGCCACTGTGATATTGCTGGGAATGTAAAACAGTAATCCCTGACCAACTTCACAATTCGTAACAGCGAATTATCAGAAACTACACACTGCACGTTTCAACAGTTCGGTATAATCAGGTTTGACAATATGAAGAAAACGTGAAGCTTTCCCCAACACGAATCAGTATTCAATGATGAAAACGGATCGATCACCTTCATAAACACAAAGCCGCTTCATCCAACAGGGACAATAAACTAATCATTATTGATTTATTACCTTTGTGTGTATTACAGTTTCAAAACAACGCCCAGCATATTAAGCATACTGGCCATAATACCGTTATTACCGCAATGTACCGCAGACAAGGGTAGGCTACAACAACGGCAGATCTATTCGTGTTGGGGTACAGGCGTGTTCAAATGGACAAACCAGAACCTTTGACTTGTCCTAATGTGTCAACACACAGTGGCTAGCCAAGGGCAGTTTCAACATTTAACGTGTGCATTAGCCCCTCGTCGTTGTATAATTGGGACTCGACTTGTTGAAAGAAGCCGGTCCATGCCATAGCGTTACTGTTGGTAAACAGAGGGTATAATAGACTTGAGTATAGTGACGGCTCGCTGGCCCACTATTTGCTAAAATGCCCACGGGAACAGCTAACAGGTAAACCGATGCTAAGAAAGCCTGCACGTTGAAATGTACACCAGGTAAGTTTGTCGCTCACCTGCTCTTCAGAGAATTCAGATTACACTGTCGCGTGGCGAACTGCTTGAACATAGGTAAATATTTTCAGCTTACGTGTCACTGGTTTTCACATATGTATGGTGTATTATTTCATTATCACGTGGTTTTAGCCACAGGGGCGTGTCACGCTAAGAAACAGCGTTAGAAAGACATATAGGTACATGGATATAGACCCTACCCTAATACTATATAAAAGGATCCTTTTATATAGTACTAGGGTAGGGTCTATATACACGCCCCTGTGGTTTTAGCGCGTGTGAAAAACGCTGGCGCATTGCGGAATGGTGACGATATGACAGTTTAATGTGACGGAGTATTGACTAGTACATCGTCTGTGATCAAAGTCATAAAGGGTACGATTAAGTTTAACTTCCGCCTTGCATTGAAGACGTAGATTGATCAGATTTAGTGAGTGAAATATGTCACATTTTATATGCAGAAATAATTTCATTTTCACAATGAATGTATCTTGCTGAAACTTTGGTGAATCCTATGCCCAACATATATTCGTTCCATAGCGAGTCCACTATGGCGGTGGCTAAAGCGTTTGATGACGCTCGATGACGTTTGATGACCATTTTGTGTTTTTCCTAGAATATTGCAATACGTGGCGCGTTTAGCTCGTCGCCACCGTTCTGTATGGTGAGGTTTAACTGTATCGAATAAGAGTTACTTGTTTTCCCAGCTCTTTATGATTACTTCAAGGCCAGTACAAACTCAGATTTAAACGGTGAACTTTAACAACAATTAACTCAGTTATACGCTGTAACGTAATGATAACAATGTTTAATCTAGAACTGGGCCCCGTTCCACAAAGCGATCGTAGCGCTAAGATGGTCGTAACTCCCATACTTTAACATAGACTTACGACTGTCGTAGCGCTACGATCGCTTTGTTGAAGTCCTGTTCCTCAAAACGATCGTAGCGCTACGATGATCGTAACTCCCAAACTTTAACATAGACTTACGACTGTCGTAGCGCTACGATCGCTTTGTTGAACGGGGCCCTGGGTCCCGTTCCTCAAAACGATCGTAGCGCTACGATGCTCGTAACTCCCATACTTTAACATAGACTTACGACTGTCGTAGCGCTACAATCGTTTTGAGGAACGGGGCCCTGGTCTACAGAAACCCATGCTTGACGTAAGAGACGGATAAGGGGATCGGGTGGTCAGGGCCTGATTGATGCGTGCCATCGTGTCCCGATTGTGTCGGTCGATGCTCATGATGTCAGTTTTCAGCCTTGCGGCGTTAAACAACAAACATATTTGGCATATCCTCCTGGGGAATAGAACCCAGGTAGTCGCATCAAGCAAACGCATCTACTGCCAGGCCACGCTGGTGTCCATCTCCCTGTGTTTATCACAATGTCCGTTGTCAGATGCACGCCAAAAACGCTGTATTTTGTCTTCTCATGTGCCCAGCTGTTTTTTTATACACATCTCTCTGTTTCATAAATAGTATAATTGTACAACCAGACAATACAATTTTCAAGGTCATGAGCATCGATCTACGCAATTGGGATACGATGACATGGTCAACCAAGTCAGCGAGCCTGACCACCCGATCCCCTCCGTTGCCTCTTATGACCAGCAACCGCCTCCGTGGTGTAGTGGTTAGAGCGTCCGCCTGGAGACCAGAAGGTCGCGGGTTCGGTCCCCGACCGCGTCATACCAAAAGACGTTAAAATATGGTACTTGTTGGTCCCTGCCTGGCGCTCGGCATTAATGGGTACTACAAGGACTGGTCGGCTCGGAGTCAGTATAATGTGTCTGAGTGGGGTATTCATGCTTCACTGCGGCATGGTATCTCAGTGGGCTAGCACTATAAAACCAGCTTAAGTCTGGGCTAGTACAAGCAGCCGCACACACATACACACGCATGCACGTCGTCATATGAGCGAAATATTCTCAAGCACGACGTTAAACCCAATTTCACCTCACCTGTGACCAGCAAGGATTGCTGAATACCGTTCTAACCCGGATCATTACAGATGAACAGTCTGGGATTAACAGACATATTATGTACACTGTTAACTGTAAAACTACGTTTTGTTTTAGTGGTTTACGTTTTAAAAACGTTTCTGGAACCATACAAATTCACGTGAATAAAACATATTTTGAAAACATTTGCTTATCATTTGAAAATGTTTCTAAAACATTTCTGGAACCATACAAAATCACGTGAATAAAACATTTTTAAAAAATGGGGTCCTTCGACGTGATATTGCTGGAATATTACTGAAAATGCGGTATCAAACTGACATACCCACATTATTACCTTTTAGGATTATCATTTTGTATTTTATTTTTGGAGGGGGTCGTGTAAATTCAACTGATCACGCAAGCCCTACTCTCATCTCCGACCTCTTCATCCCTATGCAGCGGTTGTGAACGGTTGTGCTATCTGTACATTTCCTCGTCGGCCGGCCCACCTGAGGATGTTCCCAGTGAGCCTGTATTTGTCAACATGCCGAATGTTTAACCACGTACTGTACCGGGGTATAAAATTTCAGCTTGTTTGATCGTAGTGCCCTTTCAGCGAGCCTAACAGGCATGCAGGTAATACCCACACTTCAAACAGGTGAATCCCAGAGGCAGTTGTTGGTGTCAGGTATGTAACGAACTACCTATGTATTCTGTATGTATCGAACGCAGTCTACTCTGTATATAACGAACACAGTGTACCCTGCATATAACGAACACAGTCTACCCTGCATATAACGAACACAGTCTACCCTGCATATAACGAACACAGTCTACCGTGGTTATAACGAACACAATCTACCCTGCATATAACGAACACAATCTACCCTGCATATAACGAATACAGTCTACCCTGACCCGTGAAGGTCCGGGTTAGAATATTGATCCATGCTTGTCGTAAGAAGCGACTAACGGAATCGGTTGGTCAGGCTCGCTGACTTGGCTGACACATGTCATCCGTTCCCAATTGCGCAGATCGATGCTCATGCTGTTGGTCACTGGATTGTCTGGTCCAGACTCAATTGTTTACAGACCGCCGCCATATAGCTGGAATATTGCTGAGTGCGGCGTAAAACTAAACTCACTCACAGTCTACCCTGCAAATAACGAACACAGTCTACCCTGCATATAACGAACACAGTATATCGTGTACATAACGAGTATAGCTTACTCTGGGTATAACGAACAGTCTATTCTGCACAGCCTGTATAACGAACACAGTCTACTCTATATAAAACGAGGGGCGGTGGGGTAGCCCAGTGGTTAAAGCGTTCGCTCGTCATGCCCACAACCCGGGTTCGATTCCCCACATGGGTACAATGTTTGAATCCCATTTCTGGTGTCCTCAACTGTGATATTGCTGGAATATTGCTAAAAGCGGAGAAAACTAAAACTTACTCACTCAAACTCACTAGATATACATAAAACGAACACAATCTTCTCTGCATGTAGCAAACATAATCTACCATTTATATATCGAAAGTAGCCTATCCCGTATATAACGAAGGGAAAATGCTTTCAAAAAAAGCTTCGCGATAAGCAGGATCGAACCGCGCTTTAATATAAAGGTTTGTTGTGACGATCGCGCGTTTGGGCGTTTACTGCGCATAAATATTGCGCATACCAGGAAGTAACGTGGATAGACGACGGGGCATGAGGGCACCCACAACAAAGGTGTTTACATGTCACAGTGTGCAAGATCTCTGCACTGCATCTGTGCACGGTGTTTGTGCACTTGTTTTTGACAGCTTATGTGTATTCTGTACATGTTGTCATGGTGTTTTGTGAAAGTGATCTGCTCTTGTGATGATTGGTGATCGATACTCAAATGAAATGTACGTACGAAGCCACTATATGTACAGTGTAATCAGTGACATTTTGTCCGCTCTAAGAAGTTACTATGTGTTATATGGAGAGAGAGAGAGAGAGAGAGAGAGAGAGAGAGAGAGAGAGAGAGAGAGAGAGAGAGAGAGAGAGAGAGAGAGAGAGAGAGAGAGAGAGAGAGAGAGAGAGAGAGAGAGAGAGAGAGAGAGAGATTTGCATGCCAGTTCGGGTCTTTTCTATCTATCTCTGAGAGAGAGGAGATTCGACAGGTCTAGCGAGTTAGAATTTTTATATTATTGTTTTGAAAAATAATTGTTTCAGCAGTTAATTTTTTTTAGGTTGAAACAAAAGTACAAAAGTTAACATATATCGTAGCACTATCTACATGATCTATGTGTACTAACCAGCTGTTTCAACACATTACCTGGAGAGGTATTTACATAAGCAAGTTTAGCTTTTTATGGATCCAGATTTCTTTGAAATTGCAATATGTTCAAACCTAATGTCAAGTCATTCAAACTGAATTGTCATTAAGCATAAAACAGATTAAGTGTCTTAACATGAGACATAACATACAGCTGTGTTAGCTAGTAATATCTGAAAATTTTCTGAACAGATGTTAAAAAGGTTTAGGTTAACACATAAATTGTAACCAAGCTTACACCAGAGACCACAAAAAAAGTTTATTACGTGGTCTCTACTTACATGAAAAGTCGGTGAGAGAATTCAGAATAACATATTTGGCTTAGCAGTAGATATATGTAATTAACAATTAATCAAGTTTTATGATTGCAGAAGTATGACAATATTTTGCCCAAAATTTACACTTTGTGCATTGAAATCTATGACAATTTAAAAAAAAAAATCATTAATCTATCATGACTTCATTAAATGATGAAGCCAAAATATAGTAGCATGTTAGGAAAGTTATCTATGTCCCAGTAGTGCATGGTATTCTCAAACCATGGTTTCCTTGCAAAGTTGTCCATTTTTCAGATGTTTATGAGGATAATGCTATGTCAAATATATTTTAATATTGGACGGACACTGCTATGTGTATGAGGGAGAGATCAGATGTGCGAGGATGTACTAGTCAGTGAGTGAGTTTGGTTTTACGCCGCCTTTGGCAATATCATGGGGGGGGACACCAGAAATGGGCTTTTAATAATATTCTTTATGTTTTTAAAACTTTTTGACAAAATGTTATGGAGGAACATAAGGGAAAGCAAACAAACTTGTTATAACCTAAAAACCTTTCAAACTCATATCGGGGGGTAGGTGGGGGCTTTTCACGATTCTATATTGTGTGCGAGAAACATCATGGAACTCTATAAAATTATGGCTGACAGCATCTGTGGAGACAGCATTACCCTGTGAAGATCCTGGTTAGAACTGATCTTCAGTAACCCATGCTTGTCGTAAGAGGCGAGTAACAGGATGGGTGGTCTGGCTCGCTGACTTGATTGACACATGTCATGTCCCAACTAGGGCTGCAACGATTTGGTTCAATTCATCGAAAATCAAATGTGACACCTTAGTTTTGATTTTCGATAACCATTATCACTATTTCGATTCGATATTTGAATACCTATTTAAATTAATTCCACACAACCAGAACGTAATTTTGACTCCAACCCGAGCAGTTTCAAGCACTGAAATAAAGCGAAACGTGATTGGTTGACGCCGGGTTAATCATCCAAAGAGAATTGTTGTTAGTAGACATCGCCAAGTTGACAATGGATTTCACGCCAGAAAAGCAGACATGAGAGTTAAATGAAATCTAATATTTTTACTTGTATGAAGAGTCGAATCGAAAATGATCGAATCGAGGGTCCAATATCGAAAATTTAATTGAATCGAGGTCTGGGTGAATCGTTGCAGTCCTAAAGGCTACAACTTGTGTTGTATTCTAATTCAACTTAGTATGTAACACAAGTTCAGATTGGTCAATGCTGCTGTGTTATGGTTGTAATATTGCTGATTCAGCACACACACGCGGACTGTGCCATAAAACAACAATCATTCACCCATTAAATATGTTAATATTGAACTTTAAAATATATGATTGTTTTTTTTGTTTAATGCTACTCTCAGCACTACTCCAGCTGTGTGATGGCAGTTGAAAGTAGTCGAATCTGAACCAGACAATCCAGTGACTGACCTGATGGACTTCATCTACACAGGGTGGTGGGGTAGCCTAGTGGTTAAGGGGTTCGCTCATCATGCCGAAGGCCCGGGTTCGATTCCCCACATGGGCACATTGTGTGAAGCCCATTTCTGGTGTCCCCCTTCGTGATATTGCTGGAATATTGCTAAAAGCGGCGTAAAACTAAACTCACTCACTCACTCATCTACACAACTGGGATATGATGAAATGTATCGATGAAGTCAGCAAGACTGACCACCCAATCCCATTAGTTCGACAAGCAATGGTCACTGAACACCTATTCAAATCTGGATATTCATTGTCAGCTATAAGATTGCCTCACAGTCACTGGTATCAAAATCTGATAGACATCATCATTGAATCTTATTTTTTCAAAATAATTTTTTGAAGTTAATATGCAGTTTGACATGAATGTTTCATCTATGTCCACAGAATGCTGGGAAAATGCAGGCATACTCAGTTACTTCCCCTGGTGGTGTTTGCAGCAGTACTGGTGACAGTAGGTGGCGCCACTGACTGGGGGGACCTGAGACTCCCCCAGGAGCATGTGCCTTACTTCTTCAGGAACAATCCTGACATCAAACAGAAGTGCCAAGATGATGATGCATGTCCTTACAAGGTATGGATGATAAGTGCAGCAATGATTTGTTTAACACAATCATGCAGGAATTTCTTAAGGGTTCCAAAGAGAGTGAGTCTGTTTTTAAGCTGCTTTACTGACTGAGTTTGGTTTTACGCCGCTTTTAGCAATATTCCAGCAACATCACGACGGGGGACACCAGAAATGGGCTTCACACATTGTACCCATGTGGGGATTCGAACCCGAGTCTTCGTCGTGATGAGCAATGCTTTAACCACTAGGTTACCCCACCGCCCCTACGCTGCTTTAAGCAATACTCCAGCAATATCACGATGGGGGACACCAGAAATGGTCATCACACATTGTACCTATGTGGGGAATCAAACTCAGGTCTTCGGCGTGACTGGCAAACGCTTTAACCACTAGGCTACCCCACCGTCTCAATCTAAGAGCCCTTGGCTAGCAAAGATTTATTGAAAACAATTCAAAATTTAGTTATATCAAAATTGCTAAAAAAAATTAGTTTCAGGGGTTCTTTAACACTATTATGCTAAGGGGCGGTGAGGTAGCCTAGACCCGGGTTCGATTCCCCACATGGCTACAATGTGTGAAGCCCATTTCTGGTGTCCCCCGCCGTGATATTGCTGGAATATTGCTAAAAGCGGCGTAAAACCATACTCACTCACTATTATGCTATTTAAACAGTACCTGTGATATTGTAAACCAGGGGTCACAGGTCCAGTAAACTTTCAAAATCCACTTGACCAAATATTAATTTCACTTGACCACAATTAACAATTTGGTTTCTTTTGCAAATAATCTTTATCAATTATAAACAACAGACAATTGCTTTTTTATTTCATCATCAAAATACATATGTCAAAACATTCCATAGTTTGGCACTACTGTACCACGGTAAAGTTTAATGTTGATATTAACTTGACCGACCAGAGAATTCCACTTGACCCAGGCATCGGGCAATGGTATTTTTCAACCCCTGTAAACCTTAGCATTAACGTGATGAAAGTCTTGTCCTCTGTACTGTATCTGAAGTGGGAAGGGAAGCTGTCAGTTTTGATCAACACTGAAGTACACAAAACTAGTCACACACCAAGGCAGTACATCCAGTAGGGGTGGGTATTGCAGAGAATTTTCATATTGCGATGCGAAAGCATGTATTGCAGTATATTGCATGAAGTATTTTTAAACAAAAAACTACTTATAATCGAGTTAATGCTTGATTAATAAAGCAAAAACACAACAACATCACTATGCTTGATTAAGCTTTAATAACAACTTTTAATCATGATAAAATAAAAATGTGAATAATATTTGGTACAATTGAAACAAGGACATATCCGAAGATTTCTGAGTGTTACGAAGTTTTCCGAATGCATGTCAAAATACCGGTTTCAATCAGCGTATCGCAATACATATCGTTTTCATGTCTGAACCGGTAAATACTGGTAAACTGGTTATATTGAGCAGCCCTAACATCCAGTCAGTGCATCTAATCCGTACACCCTCTGGATTTCTGGGTAACAAGGTTAAGAAATGTCAGTGTTTGAGACCAAATTAATTTTATATACTTACAACTTTCAACTCGAGTCACTCTTTCCATTTTTCAGAATGAAACCCAATCAAAGCGTTGCTGGGGTTACGAGAAATCATGTCCCGAGAAACAGAGGATGAGCATGCCGCACTGCAACAGCAAGGAGAGGTGAGTAACCATGGTAACAATAATATGTATCCGTCAAATTAGAACATGCTGCGGCATATGATTAGTATGATAAGGCTGTAATGAAATATGCAAGGGACAGTCTGACAATTTAACAATGGCGTGGGCATGGAGTTTTTAAAAACAAATTTATTTTGTCAGAAACGATATGCATAAACAAAATTGTGTTTCAGATTGTTGAAGTCAACATAAGTTAAATTACATACAGCATCTGTTTCTTGTTCATGTGAAATACATGATGCATTGCCCAGTTTAAAGTGTTTCTACGATATACATGATATACTGCCCTGTTTCAAGTGTTTCTATGATATACATGATATACTGCCCTGTTTAAAGTGTTTCTACGATATACATAATATACTGCCCTGTTTAAAGTGTTTCGATGATATACATGATATACTGCCCTGTTTAAAGTATTTCTATGATATACATGATATACTGCCCTGTTTAAAGTGTTTCTACGATATACATGATATACCGCCCTGTTTTAGGTGTTTCTGTTACACACATAATATTCTGTTTCAAGTATCTCTATGGTAGACATATGATATACTACCCTTTTCCATGTACTGCCAAGCCTCAAGTCTCTATATGCAATACATGGTCTCAAGTCAATGCACATGATATACTGATTTATCATCCAAAACTGTGTGTTCCACAGGAGATATTGCTTGTGTGAGATCAAACGATATCTCCTAGGAGTAATGTTCGTAGCACCGTGAGCAGGCAATGTGCCTGGATATGAGCGCAATATAAACGGACTATTACTATTATTATTATATTGTTTTGACAGTAGATTTTGCACAATGCCCTGACAATGCTATGAGGTCATGAACTTGATGATGTCACAATTCTATGACTTCGCTGTACTGCAAATGGCAGTACCGTGTTCATAGATGTACATTTTTCATTGAAAACTAATGAAGAGTGATTTTTGATGATATATAGAATCTCAAACTCGTGTCTTCTGATATCAAATATATCAACACTCGTTGATAGAAGTAAAAATATCCTCGGCAAGCCTCAGATATTTGTAACTTTATCAACTCGTGGTGATATATTTTGATATCAATAGACACTGGTGAGATTCTCTATCTATCTCAAGTCTTTAGATAATATCCATAACATACTAATGATATATATGATGCTCTCCAGAAGGATAAGCAATGAAGAGACCAACCTGGAGATATTCTGGAAGCAGGCTGACTTTGGCTTGGTGAAGGAGAGGCACAGTGAATTCAAGTACTACTGCAAGCCTACTCACAAAGTAAGCATTTGGTGATCAAGATAAAATACAATTTATTCCCCATATTGGCTCACTAAAACATCTATACAGAAAGAACTTAGTTAAGCACCCCCTGACATATCTCACGATTGAATGAGCCCTGATCTTAACCCTTTGGAAAATATCTGGGACATGATTGGTCGTCGTGTGCAACAAAAGGATCCTCCTGTACAGAACCTGGCCCAATTGGAAGCTGCTTTACACGAGGAATGGCGTAGGCCGAAGAAGATCAGGAGGCTGACAGGGGGTATGATGAGGAGAGTGCTGGCTGTCATACAGTCACATGGAGGTTACCTCGGTATTGATCTTAAATCATGTAAGACACGCAAAATGACATTTTGAATGTTCACATTCACCAATAAATTCAACATTAAACATTCCAGGGCCATACTTGTACAGACATAGTTTTGTATGAAAATCAGTGGGTTTATTTTTCAGATGAGCAATTATCATCATAAAATCAACATGGATTGCAATCATTTTGTCCTTTTTTATGAGTCAAAGGATCATATGGGTCAGAAAAACTCATGTTTTTCCATCGTGGTCACCACAAGAAGTTTTATGTTCATGTTGAAAACCTATCATTGCAAAAATACAGGGCGTGCTTAATTAAGTTCTTTGTGTTTGTTTCACTCTTAACATATTCAGGTTTCAGGGGGTTCGAACCCCCCCTTTTGAAAAAGGGGGGTGGGGGTTTGGGTTCAGGGGCTTCGAAAATCCTGACACCCCCCAACCCCATTTCAAAATTCCTGGATCCGCCCATGGTGCAGTTGTACAAAACAACCGTAGCACTAAGACTGCCATAAGTCAGTGTTAAGATGTGCATGTTACGATCACCTGGCGCTAAGATCGCTTTGTACAATGGCACGCAGATCATTTTTTGGCTTCTGTCACAATCATGGAGAATGGGTTCAGTGTGTGAAGCAGTACCTGTGAAGCCCATTTCTGGTGCCCCCTGCCGTAACATTACTGGAATATTGCAAATAGCGGGGTAAAACCATATTCACTTACAATCATGGAGAAGCAAGTCATCTGTTAATTCTGCTTCCAGAGTCAAAAGGTTCTGTTGATTTCTCTAAGTTAAACCAGATAATGGTTGATATGAATTTCTCTATACTTCTGCTTCATGACCTTGACTTGCAACACGTTTACTTCCCAAAATGCATGCTCAGAAATTCTCACTCAGAGTCGACAGCAACAACAAAAGCGTGACATCACTAGGGCTGTGTTTTGGCAAATAAATTGTATTGCAATATATAGTGATTCTGATACCCATATTCCGATATGTATTGTGATATATTGGAAGCTTCAGTGAGTGGCATAGTGAGTGAGTGAGTGGGTGGACAATCCGGTGATCAACAGCATGACCATCGATCTACGCAATTGGGAACCAATGACATGTCAACCAAGCCAGTGAGCCTGACCACCCGATCCCGTTAGTCGCCTCTTACGACAAGCATGGGTTACTGAAGACCAATTCTAACCCGGATTTTCACTGGTTTTTGAGCAATGAACCATGCCAGCATGTGCAATGGTACATTACATAACAACCAAGTCACCAGGTGTGATCATCCAGTCCATTTGGTCAACCCTTAAGACCAGCACAGGTGCAACATTTTGCAAGGGACATATTCTCCCACTGAGGGATCATTAAAGAGTAACAAGCAGATTATTGTTAGTGTTTTCAAAGGAATTTAATGTATTCTGTCTGGAGATTACTGACTGTCCATGTTGTACAGGACGACTCCTCGCTGCGCTGCGTGGACCACATGCGGTACTGTCACGTCACCAACCTCTACCTGGACTTCCGCAGGGCCAACATGAAGCAGAGCAACAACAGGTCAGAATTAAAAGCACAAAGTCACACCACACTTCTCTAAAAACAAGTAATGCATTTCTCTCAATAATACTAACTATCAGCTCTCAGGGAAGCTATCATCTTATTTATTCCCCTAAAAATAACGTATTTGCATTACAATATTAAATTAAAATGTTCGAATGAATTAATGCAACGTTGCATTAAATCGACTCTCATGCCCTCAACTGGCCGAGCATTATTTCAAGCAAATCCCATAGAGTTATGTCCCTTGGAGTGCTCTTTACAAATATTCTGCACACAACTTGTGAATGAAACCAGTTCGGCAAGTGTGATGTGTTTGGATGATGTTCACCTCGAAGTTTCAATTACTTATTTCAGGTAACTCGTAAGGGATAATATGTCTTTTATTGCATCAGTAGGAAGCTAAAGTGAGTACATATGCCCCCAATATATATAATATAGGCCATAATATTATCGAAAATGTGTGACATTGTGCCTTTAATCACAGAATCTCAGGACTAACACAACTGTCTATCACTACTGGTTTGGTGGAGAGGGAATCGGTTTTGAAATGATGGACCACTCTTTAAACAAATCATCAAAATTAATCAGGAAGTAACATTTTTTGTGATGTATAATAAAACTAGAACACACTTAAACACAAATGTGAGTTTCTGAGAAAAAAATAACAGTGAAAGAGAAGTTGGGGTCAAATTTTATTGAGGGGAGTCATGATGGGGGAGGGGCTTCTTGGCCCCCCTCACCTATGTCATGCTGTTAGTAAATGACCAGCCACTTAGACAAGGACAGTTGAGACAAAACCAGAAATAGAACCTAATCTATGGACTGAGGATATGATATCGAAAGCTATAAGAAGGAGATATGTTATGGCCTTATGAATTAGAATGATGACACAAAGTTATAAATGGTAGTCAGGTGTTGCGGTAGGCTAGAGTTCTAAGGCGCCAGGCTAGAGATCCAGCGAGCTTGAGGTGCTGAGCCCACCTGTGAACGGAAGTAAAAACCTTGGTGTCAACTTTGTGTGCAGATTCTTTCAGTGTTGTCACAGCCCCTAGTGTACAGTACATAACCCTGTGCACTTAACAGAACCCACGAATCCTTTGGTAAATGACCAGATGGTGGCCACATCAATATGTGCTTGTTGTGAGTACAGCAACGTGCAGTAAACTTGGACAAAGTACTGTGACTATGTGTCCCAGTCCACCCAGCTGTGAATGGGTACCTCATAAGGATGGGAAAGCCACATTAACTTGGTGCGCCTCAATGGCTGCAGTAGTTGTATGATCCCCAACTGATCCCCTTTGAGCAGCTGAGCTGAGCTGGATATTGGCGCTACACAAATATTATATAATAAATAATAATAAATTATTGTTTGAAAAAGTGTTGTTTTTGACGTATGCTTAGGGATCCCTAATGTGCCAGTGCTTTGTAAATATTTCACTGATGTTGTTACATAGCAGCCCTCTGAAACTTGTATGGAGCACTTGTGACCAAATTTACATGTCGATTCCCAAGTTGAAATATACTCATAGAAACTAATAAGGGAACACATGAAAGTACAAGTGTTCCTTTATTCTTTTCCTGGTTTCTTCACAAGGTATGTATTGCACTGTGGGTAAAATTGTGGGAATGAATAAAGGAACACTTGTACTTTCATGTGTTCCCTTATTTATTTCCATGAGTATATTAAGTTCCGATCATAAATGCACCCAACTATGGAGACTTACAGTGGGTAGTGTAAGGGAGTCGGGTACACAAGTTGTAAATTTATATTCATCCCAGCCCTAGAGTTCCATATGTTTCTGACCGCCTCCGTGGTGTAGTGGTTAGAGCGTCCACCCGGAGAGCGGAAGGTCGCGAGTTCGATCCCTGACCGTGTCATACCAAAAGACGTTAAAATATGGTACTTGTTGGTCCCTGCCTGGCGCTCGGCATTAATGGATACAACAAGGCCGGCTCGGAGTCAGTATAATGTGTCTATTTATGCTTCACTGCGGCGTGGTATGTCAGTGGGCTAGCACTATAAAACCAGCCTAAGTCTGGGCTAGTACAAGCAGCCGCACATACACATACACACGCATGCACGTCGTCATATGAGTCAAATATTCTCAAGCACGACGTTAAACCCAATTTCACCTCACCTCACCTCACCATATGTTTCTGGTAGTTAGTGAACTGTGTCTATAGGTGATGGCACTGTTGTGTGTTTCCAGGTACCGTGAGGATCTCTTGGAGGACGGGAAGATTGGAGGTCACTGTACGCTGGACAAGGCCTCTCTAGCCAGGCAGGGTGACCACAAGAGTCCTCTGCAGTCATGGTGAGATGGAAACTGATATTACTTGATTCAAAATAAACTTGCCATTAACATGGTTAAAATGAATTTAAGAAAGCATTTGTATTCATTTTTGCTAACTTTATTTTCTAACCAATGTTTGATCTTTATGTGCTGTGATGGAGTGAAACTTAAAAGTCATTATTCTTCATTTTTGGATATATCATTTTTCAGTCATTTTCATAGCTGTTTTACTTTTAGAATGAATGCAATTTTTTTTATGACCATTTACCCTACCACGATGTCCATTTTGTATGTGAGTACTAAGAGAAAAGACATAATTAGTTATGTGAATACCATATTATATAGGTTATGTTTGGTATTATTCAGGTTTCATTAATATTCCCACAATATTACAGTCCCAAGATATTAGAACAATTATTCACACATTGAACCCAACTTGGGACATCAAATGCTTTAACTAATCGACTACTCCACAACATCTTAAACCTGCTAAACTGATAAGAAACTTTTTTAAGAAAAGTAAAATTACATGTACAGAGTGTAATTAATTATTTCCATCCCATGTGTCGTGTTCCAGGTATGCAGAGGTTGAACACTTCACATCATTAGAGTCACAACCTTTGACCTCAGGAGAATGTGACATCATCATCGAAAAACCAACCTACCTCATCAAGCTGGATGCTGGTGAGTTATCTCCCTTGGTCCAGAAACCCTTGGGTATTTCTGTGCAGTCTTCATTGGTATGACAGACAAAAAATGGTTAATAATGGTCACAGGCTGTGATCCCGTTTCTGATTAATCTGCCTCTGGTCACTCAAACAACAGAGTATTAGCCTAAATCCACACTCATGATTGTTGGTAACCAATATTTGTCACCAAAGCAAAAATACACACATCAGCCTTGAACCTTCAATTAACAGATTGTAAGTCTTCTTTATTTAAAAATGATTCAGTGTCAAGTTTCTCAATCAAGCTATCACTTAACACTCCAAAACATTTGGCACAGACTGAACAGCTGGTTTGAACATGGTACTACAGTCTCCTGCTTTACTTCTGGCTTGAAGTTAAACATTGGAGGGAAGGGGAATCTGTGGTCTGTTTTGGGGGTTTTTTCCTCGTGCAAATGCTCTCTTGTTATGTCATAGAGAATGTCAGTTGGTGTGTGTGTGTGTGTGTGTGTTGGGGCACTCACCACCCGATTAAAACTGACACAAAATGAAGCAGGACTAGCTACATATAATAAAGACTAGTAAAAGAAGGTTTCTCCTAGTCCTCTGATCTTGAACTAATCTAAACAAACGAAATTGGTGTCGCTGTTGATGGTACAGAATTTTAGTTATCAATAAATTGATATGGTGACACTGCTTTTGTTGTTAAGTATACATGAGAGCTTGTGTCCATCACATATCCATGATACATGGATGTTTTGATGAATTGTTTTCAGGAGTGAATATGTTCCATCATTTCTGCGACTACGTGAACCTTTACCTCAGCCAACACTTCAACAACTCCTTCTCCACCGATATCAACATCATCATGTGGGACACCGTGAGTAGACACGTCACCAGTTGCATGCTACTTTGGTTGCATGTGGCCTCGTGTGCAGTCACAAATCAGGCTAAGTTAAGCAGTGTTTGTTGTGGAGAGACATTGTTTGTTTGTTGTGGAGAGACATTGTTTGTTTGTTGTGGAGAGACATTGTTGGAGAGACATTGTTTGTTTGTTGTGGAGAGACATTGTTTGTTTGTTGTGGAGAGACATTGTTTGTTTGTTGTGGAGAGACATTGTTTGTTTGTTGTGGAAAGACATTGTTTGTTTGTTGTGGAAAGACATTGTTTGTTTGTTGTGGAGAGACATTGTTGGAGAGACATTGTTTGTTTGTTGTGGAGAGACATTGTTTGTTTGTTGTGGAGAGACATTGTTTGTTTGTTGTGGAAAGACATTGTTTGTTTGTTGTGGAGAGACATTGTTTGTTTGTTGTGGAGAGACATTGTTTGTTTGTTGTGGAGAGACATTGTTTGTTTGTTGTGGAGAGACATTGTTTGTTTGTTTGTTGTTTATTGCAATATTCCAGTTATATGGCTGCGATCTGTAAATAATCGCATCTGGACCAGACAATCCAGTGATCAACATCATGAGCATCAATCTGCGCAATTGAGAGACGATGATGAGTGTCAACAGAGTGAACCTGACCACCCGATCCTCATTGTTATTGTTTACAAGCATGATAACCATTTCTGACAACCATTTCTAACCCGGATCACTGGTTTTATAACAAAGCACTCAGCAATTCTCCACCTCTGTGACAGAGGTCTGTAACTTGACATCATGAGCATCGTCTAACGCCATCGGGATGCCATGACATGTGTCAACCAAGTCAGCGAGCCTGACCATGTGGTCCTGTTAGTCGCCTCTTACGACAAGTATGGGTCAGATTATATTGCCAGTACTCTGTTGCTCTATACAAGTAACATACAGTCACTTATTGTGTGTTAACACTGCTCTCCTGAATAATCTGGCTACACAAGTTTTATAGTTCAAAATAGACATCGGTCTGCAGGGTCCAACAGATTTGTTCTCGGGCTAGTACTTTAATATTTCAGCAGGCCCTTCTGGCATGCAGTTTGATGAAGCTGTAAACATGGTAAATGGATCCGACCACTGAGATTACTTTATAAAACTAGGGTCCAGCTTCTAAATACTCGGGGGCGGTGGGATAGCCTAGTGGTTAAAGTGTTCGCTCTAGTGGTGGTCCGATTAATTGAAATAATCGAAGATTGGTCTTGGTGACTAAATGACCAAGCAATCGATCACAATTTTCATATATAACGCAAACAATTCTGGAACACTTGTTTTCATTAACAATATTTTTCACATGGTTGGTTTTGTCTGTTACATTTCGTAAGCACTACAAGCTCATTTCAAGTGTCACGATTGAATTTATGTTAAAGATTCCAAGAAATTTATGTTACTAACATACTAGTTATCCTTTAAAGATGTGAAATTTTGCCAAAAAACCCAAGAGAACTACTTGTTTTTTACCTTATTTTTGTGTGCATTAACAAATTTCATAAATGAACTAACCAATTATTTTTGATGATTGATCGGTAGTAACGAGCCAATCATCAATTATGAGATTTTAACCAATTCTCAACTCTAGTTCGCTCGTTCGCTTAATCAGTCAAACTGAATATGAACTTACATATGCAAAGCAGAGAAGAGATTTGAGATCAGTGTGTATGCACTCTGTGTAGTGAAGCAGTTACTGTATTTATTGGTGCGTTGCTTTTTCATTGTTCAATTTTCAATTATTTGTTCACTCTGTATTTTCGTTTGTTTCAGAGTGGCTTCCATTATGGCGACTTCTTCAGCGCCACGTGGAAAGTATTTTCAGATTATCCCATTATTCCTCTGCAGCAGTACGACGGCAAAAGGGTAGGTGGACCTTCTGAATCTGTCTGTTCACAAAACAAATGACAGTCAGGGTATTCTTTGGTCATTTAATGTATTATTATTATTGATGATTAATTATATTCAACTGGGACAACAAATAGAGAATCACACCCAAGTGTCTTCTGATATCAATTATATGAACACGAGTTGATAAAGTTACAAATATCCGAGGCTTGCCGAGTGTTGATATATTTGATATCAGAAGATACGAGGGTGAGATTCTATTTATCATCCAAAATCAGTCTTCATTAATTTTCAATGAAAAATGTACATCTCTGAAAACGGTACTGCCATTAGACTTGCAGTGCAGCGATGTCATAGCATTGTGACGTCATCAAGTACATGACGTCATAGCATTGTCAGGGCATTGTACAAAATCTACTGTCAAAACGATATCTCCTAGGAGTTATCGTTTGATCTCACACAAGCGATATCTACTGTGGAACACAGTTTTGGATGATAAATATTGGCTGCTCCTTTTTAAACCAGTGTGCCGTTGTACAGAACGATATTAGCGATAAGGTGATCGTAACTCCCACAAGACAGCATGGATAATTTTAGTGCTAAACTTGTTTGATCCAATGGCACCCATGTCAATTGGTCAGGAATTGTCAATGTTATCAACAGTTATCAAAGTAATCAGTTTGTTTGTCAGTTTGGAACAATGATTGCACTGGTATTTTGTAGATTACATTGAGAGTAGTTTGAAAATTTATGTTGTCTACCACTTTCGGTTTGTTTGATATTTAATCACAGGGTAGCCTGGTAGTTAAAGTGTTTGCTCGTCACACCAAAGGCCCAGGTTCAATTCCTTACATAGTTTCAGTAATGAATGCCATTTCTGGTGTCCCCTGCTTTTATAGTGTTGGAATATTGGTTACAGTGGCGTAAACCTAACTCTCTATCTAAGGCATGTGTTTTCTCTATTTAAAGGTATGTTTTAAGGAAGCTGTTTTCTCCTTTCTGGCTCGGATAAGGCTGGGACTGTACTACAATATGCCACTGGTGAGCTTTAGCTACATTTTGCAGTCAAGAATTCTTTTAGTTGTGACCTATGTGATTTGTAAGTGAGACTTACCAATGACTACTGAGTCTGTTCAAATTTCATCTGTGAGTAAATATTTAATGTTGCTTTGGCCTTATTTCAGCCCTATCACATCTCAGTTCAAAGGGGGGCGGTGGGGTAGCCTAGTGGTTAAAGCGTTCGCTCGTCACGCCGAAGGCCCGGGTTCGATTCCCCACATGGGTACAACTTGTGAAGCCCATTTCTGGTGTTCCCTGCCGTGATATTGCTGGAATATTGCTAAAAGCAGCGTAAAACCATACTCAGACTCAGTTCAAAGGTCATCTAAAATATTTCTTCATTTTATAGCATGGCTATGTCAGGAATATCACATTTGCAATTAGTATGTCGTTGATGAGTTGAGGTGAGGTGAAATATGGTTAATATCATGTTCAAGAATTGATCTTCAGCAACCCATGCTTGTTGTCAGAGCCATCTAATAGGATTAAGCGGTCAGGCTCTCTGACTTAGTTGATGCATGTCATCATATCCAAGTTAGATCGGTGCTCATGATGTCAATCACTGGATTGTAAAGTCAAGACTCGATTATTCACAGAATGCCATCATATAGCTGGAATATTGCTTAGTGCGGCGTTACACAGCTGACAAAAACTCAAACACAGGTGAAACAGGGATTTACAGGATGCGAATTCCTGCGTCCTATACACATAAAAACTGACAATGGAAGCAACCAAATTTATTAGTGCATCCACAGGGACGCAGAAAAAGTCCAAATACTTTTGTAAAAATTCCAATCAAGTGACAATGAGTTATCACTGAGTTTATTACTAGCTGGGTTATGGTATCATTTGCAATTTAATTACTGTAACAATGTGATGATCATGATGCACAATACAATAACAGTATTAATAATAATATTTAAGTGTCTGGGACCCATATTTTGTTGTCCAGGACCCCTGAAAATAAAGAGTATGAGTCCCAGGGACCGTCAATACAGGACTCCATGTAAAGGAGAAAGGAGCTTGTTTCACTACAAGGTTGCCTCCCTTGGTGTATGGAAGAAAGGAGCTTGTTTCTGACATTGAAAATGCTGCGCAAATTAAATGTGTTTCAGTGATGTCTAAATAAACCGTATTCAACTCATTTGAACAGTCCATTTTGTGATGCAGGTGAATGGTTGCGAGGGAAGTGGACTGATCCGCGCATTCTCGCAGCACACAATCCACAGACTGGAAGTCCCTCAGGAGGGACCGCTGGTGAGACTGAATTTTTTCATTTACTGCAATTTTGATCAAGCACCCATTTCTTCAGAAATGTATAGTTCTTAATATACAAGATCCCCATCACTGTTGCTCTTAAATTGGCTACAGGCGGTGGTGTAGCCTAGTGGTTAAAGCGTTGGCTCGTCAAGCCGAAGACCCGGGTTCGAATCCCCACATGGGTAAAATGTGTGAAGTCCATTTATGGTGTCCCCCGCCGTGATGTTGCGAGAATATTGCTGAAAGCAGCATAAAACCAAACTCAGTCAAATAAATTGGCTAAATGGGAGTTAGAATATGTTGTCATTCACTTATTGTTGTTTGTTGTCCAGCCTCAATTGAGTGTGGAAATTGTTGACTGCTGCATTAAACCAAACCAGTACCAACAGGTGTGGCAGAGATTGCTACAGAAATTTTTTAGATAGGGTTTTAAATAGCAATAAAATCATTGTACATGTATATTTCTGAATTTGAATGTATTCATTGATGTTCTTATCATGTGGGTCATCTGTGTGGTTTTCGTGGTTTCAAGATTAATCACACCTAGCTCCAGCGAGCCGGGGCACTGGGGTAGCCTAGTGGTTGCTCATCACATCGAAGACCCGGGTTCGATTCCAAAAATGGGTACAATGAGTGAAGCCCATTTCTGGTCTGGTGCCCCCTGCCTTCATATTGCTGGAATATTGCTAAAAGCGGCGTAAAACCATGTTCACTCCTTCCCTCTCTCCCGCTCACTCACGTGAACCAGCAGTATTTTGTCATGGGGAGTTTGAGAGAATCAGTCCATTCTACTTTCAGATTAAGCACATTCCCATTAATTCTAACTAAATCCTTGTTACAGAATATGTATTTTACCTATTATTTTATTGAATGACCTGTAGTTTTGATGGAAAGCCACATCCTAATGGTGAGGGAATTCCTGGAGCAATTACTTAAGGAGCAATAGTAGTAAAATGTCATCATCATGGTTCTGGAGCATGTTCTGTTGGAGTTAGGTGCTCTGTGATCATAGTGTTCTGTTGGTATTGCAGAGGGACAAAGTTCGAGTGACTGTGCTGGCACGGAACACAAAGTACCGGAACATCATGAACCAAGATGAGGTAATCACCTTGACCTTGTGCATCAAAACGCTGCATGCTCGCTCGCTCACTCACTCACGACCAGGATGCCATCGTACAAAACAATCTTAGCACTACAGTGGTCGTAAGTCAGTGTTAAGGTATGCAAGTTACGATCACCTGGTGCTAAAATTGCTTTGTACAATGGCAAGCAGATCAATTTTTGCCTTCTGTCACAGTAATCATGGTCATAGAGTATAGGTACGATGTGCGAAGCCCATTTCTGGTGCCCCCTGCCCTGATATTGCTGGAATATTGCAAAAAGCAGCGTAAAACATGCTCACTCACTGTATATTTACCTTGTCAATAAAGCTGCTAATATGATGAACATTTTTATCAGGCCATAACCTTGCATTATTTAAAAGTGTGTTATAACTTAACAAGTCGGAGAGAGAGTGATATATTTACAAAATGACCCCATGAAATATCACTAGCCAGTGACTATGGAGATTATAGCCCGACTGGATTTTTACTAGCCATGGGCTAGCGGGCCAGTGGCTATTTCGCATACAGTATGCATTACAAGTTACAGCATGTATATGTAAAAAAATACTACTTTTCTTTGAGAAGAAGGTCAGATTGGGGGCTAGTCATGTTTTATATAGGAAGATGAGAAATCAGAGAATCCAGGGATCACCAAACATACTACACATATTCATCATGGACATGGAAACATGGACAGTTTATTTTGTAACGCTTTTACATTTAGTCCTTTCCTAGAGCGTCATAAAAAAACAACATGTGTATTATCAAGTTAAAGAAACTAATTCATGAGACAACAGGTTTTGTTTTCCATTTGAAAGAATGATGATGAAATGATGACCTTTCATGAACAGGTTCATGGTTGCTGTCTATCTGTTTCAGCTGGTTTCGGCTCTAAAAACAATTGGAGAATTTGAGGTGAACCTGGTTGTGTTCAACAAGTAAGTGCTTATCTCTGCTCCAACCCGTGAAGGTCTGGGTCAGAATATTGATCTTCAGTAAACCATGCTTGTCGTAAGAGGCGATTAACGGGATCGGGTGGTCAAGCTCGCTGACTTGGTTGACACATGTCATCGGTTCCCAATTGTGCAGATCGATGCTCATGCTGTTGATCACTGGATTGTCTGGTTCAGACTCGATTATTTACAGACCGCCGCCATATAGCTGGAATATTGCTGAGTGCTGCGTAAACTAAACTCACTCACTCACTCACTCGTTCTCTGCACCATGTTCGTGACGACATGTCTCAGATTGTTGACATGTTTCATTATGATGGAACTGCCGTGGTGTAGTGGTTAGAGCGTCCGCCGGGAGAGCAGAAGGCTGTGGGTTCGATCCCCGATCGCGTCTTACCAAACAACATTAAAATATGGCTGACTGTCTGAGTATGGTTTTACGCCGTTTTTAGCAATATTCCAGCAATATCACTGTGGGGGATTCCAGAAATGGGCTTCACAAGTTGTACACGTGGGGAATCGAACCCGGGCATTCGGCATGACGAGCGAACGCTTTAACCACTAGGCTACCATACCGCCCCATTCAAATATGGTACTTGTTGGTTCATCATCATTTGCTTGTTGTCAATGGATACTAAATTGTGATTTGAAAATCACTCAGTTCTTGTAACTAGTTGGTGATTTAATTCAAATGCTATTGATGCTAAATTTTTCGCTTTAATTTCTAAACTATTTTCGGGAGTAGTAGATTATGTGTGAAACTCATTCCAGATAATTACTGATTTACAAATCTTAAGACATCTCTTGATTTTTCATTTGGCATTAGTCAGAATACAGACCTTATAAATATGGTTTATGACAAGAATTTTAACAGTCCAATTGACGAAGTTTTCCAAAGCTAAGACTTGAATTACTGAATGAAAGCATTTTGATGAATAAAATTAACAAAGTGTATCATATGTGCCACGGAAATTTATCTGAATTTTTTTATCAATACTTTAGAAAAAAAATCTGAAAGTTTTATAAGGGTTTTGCAAATCTGTTTGATGTTCTATGTGTTATTTGGAACTTGCTTTTTGTTTAATATGCTTTAAGTAGAAATAATACAAAGGTAGCGATGTTAAATAAATAACAACGATGTCTCATGTCTGTGTGTTACGGCAATACACATAGTTGTAGTGTTTTTCCTTCTGGCGGCCATTTTGTTGTGTCTTATTTTGGGTACTGCTCTAAATTAGCATGGTTGACTCTGGTTAACTCGGGTTGAATCAAGTTAGCTGTGTTTGTTAGACTGACTGAGTTTGGTTTTACGCCGCTTTTAGCAATATTCCAGCAACCTCACGGCCGGGGACACAAGAAATGGGCTTCACACAATGTACCCATGTGGGGATTCGAACCCGGGTCTTCGGCGTGAAGAGCCAATGCTTTAACCACTAGTCTTCCCCACCGCCCCTTGTGTTTGTTAGAAATGTGGTTACCTCAGGTTACTCAAATTTATTATCAAACTATCTGATGTACTGTATTGCTGGAATATTGCTAAAAGAGGCGTAAAAACAAACTCAGTCAGTCAGTCAGTCTGATGTACTGTAGATTTCTCTAACATTCGCAGTAAAGTTGGTCCACAGTGAGTGAAGATGTCAGGACATTCACTTTTACTTGTTACAGGGTTTGTCTGGTAACATTGTATTCGATATCACTGATTTCGTGACTGCGTGCTTAAACAATGTATAAATATTTTCTATATCTGTTTCAGGGACATGCCATTTTTAGACCAGCTGAAGGTGAGTATCACCATGGTTACAGCAATGACAAAAACTACTTGGTGTGATCATGGATGTTTGGGTGTAAAATATCTTATGTTACCTATTACAATCGTGATTGTTTGGGTGCAGAAACATCAAATGTTACATAGTATGATCATGGATGTTAGAGGGGAAGTATATCATGTTATTATGTAAGCATGTTTTTCCGGCTACCTGATTGGTCTAGAGGTGGTCACGTGACCATTGACAGAAAAGCATATTGACTCCAACCCAGGTCCGACCAAAAGTCATATTGACTTGAGTTACTATGACATCATGCTATGATGTCATTCTATTGTTTACGTCACAGTATTGTTGACATAACGTTATTGGTTTGTAGTGAAAATAAAATTACTTTTCTTGACTAAATGGACATGCAGTGTTGTTTAGAAGTGTTTTTTGGTAATTACATAAGAAAACAATTATGGACTGGTGAATTCGGTCAATACCTGTTTTTGTGGGGGTTTTTTGGGTGTAAAATATCAGATGTTACCTGTTATTATCATGATTGTTTGAGTGTAAAACATCAGATGTTACGTAGTGTGATTGTGGAGGTTAGGGTGTAAAACATCAGATGTTATGTAGTATGATCGTGGACGTTAGGGTGTAAAACATCAGATGTTACGTAGTATGATCGTGGACGTTAGGGTGTAAAACATCAGATGTTACGTAGTATGATCGTGGACGTTAGGGTGTAAAACATCAGATGTTACGTAGTATGATTGTGGACGTTAGGGTGTAAAACATCAGATGTTACGTAGTATGATCGTGGACGTTAGGGTGTAAAACATCAGATGTTACGTAGTATGATCGTGGACGTTAGGGTGTAAAACATCAGATGTTACGTAGTATGATCGTGGACGTTAGGGTGTAAAACATCAGATGTTACGTAGTATGATCGTGGACGTTAGGGTGTAAAACATCAGATCTTACGTAGTATGATCGTGGATGTCAGGTTATAAAACAAAATCAACACTTAAAAAAGAGTGAAAGGTTTATAATGTTGCCACGCGAGTGTGTTTTGGGATGGTTAATATCCTGCATTAAGAATCAACATTGTATTTAGCGAGACTTGGCGAGCTAAATACATAGTGTCTATTCCTAATGCAGGATATTAACACACGAGTGTGATAACCTATTTATCATACAATGTCATTCTTACTTTATAATTTAAAAAAAATGTGATTTCAATTGCCACGAAATGTACACAGATATCTATGATGTCACAAATATGTGCGTAGTAATACGTTACGTGATAAGCTCGGTGACACAGTGTTTCTTTCTACTGATCACTCAGTTGACTGCGTGGGGTCATCTAGTTCCCAGTAAGTTTTTATTGTATGTATTGTTAGCAACAAATCTAAGCTTATGCTTGAAAAATAACAACAAAATTGTGTTGAACTTCAGAAACCTTCAGTTAAACTTTTGAACAACAAATACACTTTATTGTTCGCGTGACATTCTGCACCTGGATTCCTGTGCCGTCTAACACTGACAGTTGGTCAGGGAACTGGTGCTGGTATCTTTGTAAGCCTATGAATTTCTATCTTCGCTTCGAAATGTACCCAATCTATCATAACCAGACATCAATTGCCTAGGATCAAAGCAATGACAGTATCGTAACCACGGCCGTCAATCCGGTCACAATCGCCAATAGATGGGCATGATGCCATGTTTGTTTACACTGTGAAAGTAGTCCTAAAAGTTGCATGTGACCTCTCTAATTTGCATTGATATCCATATATGACCCCAAAGGATACTGAAAATATCCTTTGGCCTTATCCTGCCGAGAACCCTATCCATTGTATGATGAATTATCATATTTATCTGCAGATCTCCCATAACAGTGATATCTTCATTGGCATGCATGGTGCTGGGCTCACTCATCTGCTGTTCCAACCTGACTGGGCGGTGGTGTTCGAAATGTGAGTACAACTGATCAATTCAAATATACTAGGGGCAGTGCAGTTTGAGTACGACTAAGCCTAGTAGTTAAAGCGTTCGCTCGTCACACTGAAGACCGAGGTTTGATTCCCCACATGGGCACAACGTGTGAAGGCCATTTCTGGTGTCAACTGCCATGATATTGCTGGAATATTGCTAAAAGCTCACTCACTCGCTCTCTATGTCTGACAGCTACAACTGCGAGGACCCGAGCTGCTACTACGACTTGGCCCGTCTCCGCGGAATCAGATACCTCACCTGGGAGAGAAAGGACAAGCTGGACCAGGAGGATGAGGTCAGTGGTCACTTGGATGATCTGTATTTAAGTTATACCATTTTGTATCAGCTGGATTTGGAGGGGGAGCCTGGAGGAAAAAACTTGGGAAAAAATATATAAAAATGTTGTTCTAATTATACAGAAAATATATTTGTTATAATTATACAGAAAAAATTGTTATACAATGTATATAAAATATGTTATTATCATTTGAAAATAAATCTGATCACTGAAGCCAATCTGAAAATATACATAGGACTTTGTCTTTCTGAATTTTCAAATTTTCGCAGACACAGGATCCAGGGGGGGATACAGCTTTTTGAGAAATGGGGGTGTACAGTTCATTTTCACCCATTTCAGGACAAAAGGGGTGTGCGCATCCCTGTACCCACCTCCCCTGGATCTGCCTATTGGGGTCTATATATGCGCTCTATAAATATCCTATGATGATAATAATAATAATAATAATGTATCAAGGGAAAACAGGTCATAGTAGAATTATTAAAGCTGTGTGTCTATGGTGTTTTACATGATGTTTTACATGATGTTTTATGATGTTATTTTCCAGGGTCACCATCCAACACTTGGAGCACATGCTAAATTCACCAATTATGGTTTTGACGTCAATGAATTTCTACGTCTAGTATTTCAAGGAGCAAAACATGTGAAGTCCCATCCCAGCTACATCGCAGCACACACAGAAAAATATAGCGGAAATTCCAAATCTAAAGATGAGTTATAGCTTGAGTGGAACATCATCTGGAGGGATAATAACGGAAATAGGAAAATATTTTTATACCAAAATTGTGTATGTCTTATCCAAAAATTTTAAAAAATGAAAATTTAATGTTTGATTATTTTAGACTGTGTGTTTGTCCTTTTAATTATTATCATTATTATTATTTATTTCAGTATTTTTAAATTATAGATAAGACTTTGTTAGCTTCATTTTGTGGCATTGATCTTATTTCTGTCATTTCTGCCCAAGCCCAAGTTCATAAAGAGATCTGAATATAATTTGGAAGATATTCCTTTTTACTTCAATTTTAAGGTCCTTAAATTTAAGTGGATAAGTTTTGTCTGGTTGATGACCTTACATGGAGAGGGTGTGATGTGGCAGCAGAAATACATGTTGTGTCAGTTGTTTGCTAAAAACGTAAAAATGTGAAGACTCATTTTTAATATATTATCTTTAGAGGAAATTCAACAACACCAAAGTCTTTATCAGTATTCAATTCATTGCTTTTTGTCCTCCAAAATTTGGCATGACATCTATGAAAATAAGTTTAAGAATGTCATTAAATTTATGCTAAAGAGTTGCATTAAAATTTACATTTTTTAACTTTTAAAATTTAAAACCAATATTCTGAGGATTGTTTGATAAGTACCAACTTTATCCTTTAACTTATTTTTTAATGTTTTCAGTATATAAATTAGTTTACAAAAAGTATTCTCATACTTTAATTTTACTCGATATTTGTGAAATGTAAGTCAGAGATACATAAGTATTGAAATGGTAAAACCTTTGGGCATTACTCATAATGGAAATTTTTAAAAATCATGACACTGATTAGAAATATAAAAAGCTTTTATTGAGTACTCACATGCTATGTGGACCAAGTGAAATATACAAATATTTAACTCTTATAACAAGGCACTGAGGAATATTTGTCGAGGGAAAATTTGAAGCAAGGTTGACGGGCAGAAATATTCAATAAAACATCATCATCATCATCACCATCATCATCGGTGTCCACATCATCGTCATCCTCCTCCTCCTCGCGTCCACATGTTTAGTCCATACCTCCTCCTAATGATATTCACTGCCATGTTTAGTCCATGTACTTGAAGGGTTCTTAGTGCAGTAATGATCAGCTTGGAATCTTCTTTACATGTCTCTTAGTGAAAACATGTTGTTTACATGTTTCTTAGTTAAAATTAATTCTTTCAAATTTTTGTCTGAATAATAACAATATATTTTATTTTAATTTTTGGGGGTTCTTTTTTACATTCACCATGTAGGGTGGGTAAAATGTTGGTTTATTTTGCCAAATGCCTGCGTTTGATACCCAATGCGGTTTTAATATGGAGATCTATTTTTGTGTCTGATACTGTGGAATGCATGGAATATTTATTTCAGCAATATTTACTCACTCACTCACTCACTCATTCACTGTGTGCCATGACTATTTCGTATATTGACTGTGTAGATTTGAGTGGCATTACATGGGAGAAAGATCTGTATGTGCCAATTGTTGATTTTATTATTGTACATGTATACTGACAGGAAGAAATAAAGGAACATATAACACTGTTGCAGCAGAAGAACATTTAGTGCTGAGACAATTATTCATTCCTGACATCTGTGAAAAAAGTCATCATGATACTATATTTGCAACTTGGCTATATATGCAATTCCTGCTTCCGAACTAAATTTTCCAGATAAACTAAAATAAATTGGGTCTGTTATTTCTTTTCAGTGGTCTGTTCTCAAAATATTAGAGGCTCAAGAAACACTTTCAGATTATTCTGTTAATTGCCGAGGGATGCAAGATGAGAACATGAAAAACAAAAGCATGTCATCCGAAGAAGTGATATATGCTATGTGTTGCTTTATTTATTGCCTTTAGTATATGTCATTTCAGCTCACATTTTATCACAACTATATATTAGCTGCACATTTTACCAATTCATTCACTTTTAATTCACATGACATACATTTTATCACAACTATATATTAGCTGCACATTTTACCAATTCATTTACTTTTAATTCACATGACATACATTTTATCACAACTATATATTAGCTGCACATTTTACCAATTCATTCACTTTTAATTCGCATGACATCTGATAATTCAGATATGTTTGCATTGATCATGAAAAATGGGGGTAATTATAAACATTTGTATTTATTTTCTTGTCCCAGTCCATCCTCAGAAGTTTTATACAGGGTTTTAAGTCTCCATTCTTTTAGGATATCTTATATATCAGTGCCAGAGATTGGTTGGTTGGTTGGTTGTTTAACACACAAGCAATATGCCAGCTATGATGCGGATGCCTATCAGATGCAATGTGGTAATGTGACAGCAGCATGTGATATAATCTTCCTGAAACCAGTGGTCAATGGCATGAGCAACAACCAGTGGCTGATGACATGAGCAAAAACATGTGGTCAATATTTTCTTTGTTGTTGAACGCTCGGCAATATTACAGCTATATGGTGGTTGTCTGTAAATAATTGACTTTGGACCAGACAATCCAGTGATCAACATCATGAGCATCGATCTACGCAATTGGGATACGATGACATGTGTCAACCAAGTCAGCTAGTAAGACTACCCGATCCCGTTAGTCGCCTCTTACGACAAGCATGGGTTGCTGAAGACCAATTCTAACCCTGATCTTCACAGGCACAGTGTGAGAGAATTACCGCTCCTGAATAGCTAGCAAATCAGATTCTTTTGGACATAAAGGGCAAAATAGCTGTCGAAAATTATAATAGAGCACAGAAAATCAGTGATGACACCATGTACTCGCGAAAACAATAATACATAATAATAGGCCTACTTGTATTACCAGTCGAACCAACAGGTCAAACAATTTGAAATTTAGAAAGTAAGTATTTGTTAAAGAGAGGGAGGGGGAAATTTATTGATGTCAACATCTGTGATATCAGGAACATGATGTTTCGGAGTATATTACTACTCATTCACCAGATTGAGGAGTAAGAATTATACTCTGAAATATCATGTTCCTCATTATAAGAACGTTAACATCAATAATTTTCTCCCCATTGATCTGTAAGTAATCAAGTCTGGGCCAGACAATCTATAGATTTAAATCCTGATGCTATTGGGCGGAAAAGTCTTCATGCAACAGGACATTTCTCTGATATTTTAGATGGCACCAGAGGCTATATAATAAGATATATGGTCTCTGATGGCACCAAAGAGACAGCTGTTTGTTTTGATCATGAAAGAATTGTGGAATATATGATTTCATGGCTGTTTTATCATCATGTCGATTGAACCGAGGTTATGGTGGTAAATAGGTCCAGGGTATTTATCGTAACATAACGGAGATTTAATACCCTGCATTACAGAAGATGTTTGTTGTGTGTGATAGCTTGTTCTGATGGCATTCTATTTTGGGAGATTAGCTCAAGGGCTTGGATACTAGACCAGGAAATATGGCGTTGAAAAAAATGGTTCTCGGGCAGTGAATTCTGCTTAATTGCAGGGATGAGTATTGAGGGCAATTTTACAAACTAAATGGTACTGTGGTAATAAAACACTGTGTGGTCCTATTGCAATAAGGTACAATTGTTTTTACCGATTGTGTTTAGGAGTTTGAGTTTAACAGACTGTGTTTAGCACATTGTTTGTAACAGATTATGTTAGAAATTTTTGTTAAATCAGTTGTTTAACAGACTGTTTAACAGATCATTTTTGGCATATCATGTTTAGCAGATAGAGGTTAGCACATTGTTCTTAACTGATTGTGTTTAACAGATTGTGTTTTGCAGATAGAGGTTAGCACATTGTTTTTAAATGATTGTGCTGGCAGATTGTGTTTTAGTACATTGTGTTTAACAGACTGTTTAGCAGATAGTGTTTAACAGATTGTGTTTAGCACATTGTGTTCAACAGGCTGTTTAGCAGATAGTGTTTAACAGATTGTGTTTAGCACATTGTGTTTAGCACACTGTTTTAACAGGCTGTTTAGCAGATAGTGTTTATCAGATTGTGTTTAGTACATTGTGTTTAGCACATTGTGTTTAACAGACTGTTTAGCAGATAGTGTTTAACAGATTGTGTTTAGGGCATTGTTTTTAACAGATTGTTTTTGACCATTACTGCGTCAATGTAGCCAGTATGTGAGGACCAATACTTGTATTTGTTTTTCATAGTACTACCATACAGTAGGTATTTGTGCAATAATAGTGATTAATGAATTCTTAGGGCTATCGTTGAGGAGATGAAGTCAGTCATTACTCCTCAGTGTTCTACAGGATCTCATGTCCTTCTGTTTATGGTTACCATGGTTACTTCAAAATTATCAGGGTAAACAGTAAAATCAGATCTTGTGTTTAAGACTCTACCTGTGCTAACAAAATAATGAGTTGAACTCGCCTCTTCAGGTCACTATGGTTACGTCTCTGCTGTAAGTTGCATCACCAGAGAAGCATTCTGATGTTACCATGGTTACTGTCCAATGCTGCACACTATCAGTAACCTGAGTTTACTGTGTTGTCATGGTTACCTTCTGATGTTAGCTATACAACAATAGGAACCTCCTCATAATGTGTTGCCATGGTTTCCATCTGACAGAACAAAAACCATGTCAACTTATTACTATGTTGTTATGGAACAACAATGGTAATCATATCATGCTGCTCGGTATCTTCTGCTGATATTTATTTTAAACAAGCCAAAAACATTAGTATCTAGTTCCTGAAACAACACAGGAAAAGAGAAGAGAAAAATATTAAAATTGAGCATAATGTTTTGAAATACATGGGTCTAAATGAAAACAAAACTGTCTTTCAGAAGACTCACCATGGACAAACATAGGCTTTTGTGAATGAAAGTCAGATTAGTCTGAGATTGATTTGATTTATGATCTGAAATCAAGTTTGAATGGCGAGCAGCAGAAGATATATTGAACAACATTAGAAACGCATCACCCATATAATACGAAATATCCCCATCAGACTGAAATGTACCCATGATATCTGAGCATCTTCGGTGCATTTTAGTGTGGTGCGTTTCTAATGTTGTTCAGTATAGATCTATTAATCACAGTAAACTTATTTTCTAGGACCTATGTTTACCCTTCTTGTGTTGTATCTAATACATGATTACTTACTGATGTTATTTGTCACCATTGTGACCTCATGGAGTCTCAATATTGCCATGGTTACCCCCTGTGTTGCCATGGTTACCCTCAGGTGGTAACCTTGTTTTATCCTTTTGCCAAGTTTTACTTTTGTAGAAATCACAATTTAGTAGGTATTATTTGATTGTAGTCAGTGATATATTTAAGTTATTTGCTTGTATCACTTCACTCGAGCCATTGCACCTTTTACAGTTATCTGAATAATCTTTTCAATTTAATCAAAAAAGTTCAAACAGAAAATATATTCAAAAGGCAAAACTAACTGTCAAACAAGTAAATACTAATAGACTGCACCTTGCTATATAAGTGCAATAATTGTAAAAATGTGATATTAAAAATAGAAAGGAAAAGGGATAATGACATTTGAAAATTTGAACA